CGCACTGCATACTGTGTCTACCCCTTCGTATTTGACCCGATATGTCTTGGTTCGCAGTACTCCCGTCCTGGCCTCAAACAGTAGAGAACTACCCCCGAGTATTATCATAGATCCTTTCCTTGACAATTTCCTGCTTAAAAGTTCGATAGATCTCTAGTGCGGACTTCTTAATCATGCCCATTCTCCACATGTCAGTCTCCGTTTCCTTCACTTTCTTCTTAACCGATAGTTCTTTTTGGTTTGGCCACCTGCTGTTTTCTAAGTATTTACCAGTCAACTTCCTGGTTCGCTTCCTCCATTTTGTATCAACATTCTTTATGTACAAGTAGCTGAAAACTTCCTAGCCCAACGCTCTTCCCCCATTTCTCTCAATCGCTTCTCAAATTTTATCTTGCTGCTAGCTTCCCTGCCCTCACATGATGTCCATCCCATATCACCTTGTACTCCCTGATTTGGTGTATTCCCGTGAGCTCCTAAAGCAAGCCTACCAATTCCACGTTGCTTAATTTCTAATCTTGCTTGAACTTCTGATCTCATGCACAAGACCGCATTGCCGAACGTCAGCCCAGGAGCCATGACTCCTTTCCATATTCCTCTCACAACATCATACCTATTGTAATTCCACAGTGCCCTATTTTTCATGACTGCTGCATTCCTGTTACTTTTAGTCGTCACGTATATTTCGTGTTCTCTCAGATACCCGGTCCCACTGCTTATCCACACGCCCAGATATTTGTATTCATCTGTTAGACAGATAAATACAAATATCTGGGCGTGTGGATAAGCAATGGGACCGAGTATCTGAGGGAACACGAAATATACGCCACGACTAAAAGTAACAGGAATGCAGCAGTCATGAAAAATACACGTTAGACACAAGCGCCATCTGGCAGTTATCTTCGAAAACGAAGGTGTGCAGCCCGTGGAGAAAGATTCGCGCCAGTCTCAGAGACGATAAGGTGTAGAACGCAAAGCAACGAGCAGGTGCCACCACCGAGACGTCGCAGCAAAGCGTTGGAAACAGCCCTTTGAGCATCGCGTTGCACTGCCAGCGCAGCGCGATAAACGCTACATTCCTTAGAGTTAGTTGTGTGTGCCTCTTCTAGTATAAAGACAGACATACAAAACTTTGAAGTGATGTTATGGCGCCTCAGATATGCGCAATATTTGCTTTTTAATTGGCAATCGCACAACTATGAACGCTTAACATTGAGCAATATTGGTGGGCGCTGCAAATTTGTTTGGCCGTTTGGTGCCGTTTCAGGTATCGTTAGGGCGGACAAAAAAGACAAATGTACACACATACAGACCAAAATTTTTTTGTCGAAGGTTCCCAAGAGAGACTATCGTCTTTAAAAAAAATTGCGCCACTGGCACTCAATCATGTCAGGCTCGGGCAAAGCAGAGCTGGTCTTCACTCGCGCGACCCAGGCTTCACAGGAACAGCCACCCATTTTATTTTACCCTGAACGCTGGAGCATCGACCGCCGAGTCGGTTAGCGCCTGTTCAAGGCATCGTGGTGTCCGGTTCCCAGAACAGCCCAGTAGAATACAGCTGCACAGAGGAGTTCATCACAGGCATGAACGTAATTTTGCTGCTGTGCTCGGTTAAACGCCGCTCATAGAGTGGGCGATCGACTCACGCGGCTTCAGGTTAAAAAAAATGGGTGGCTGTACATTCCCATGCACGCCAACGCACAAAGTATTCACGTGGTTCGCCGCGGTGGATCAGTGGTTCCGGTGCTCGGCTGTTGACCATAAGGATGCGGGTTCAATCCTGGCCCAGGCAGTTGCATTTTGGTGGCGGCTAAATGGTAGAGACCCCCATATTTTGCGATATGAGTGCACGTCAAAGATCCCCAGATGGCTGAAATTTCCGGAGCCCTGCACTGCGAAACGCCTCATGATGAATAGTGATTTGGCACGTAAAGGCGTATCAATGCCGTAAGTGCACAAATGATCACCTTGTAGAGCGAGAATATTGGCTAGGTATTGGTCAAGTTCTATTGGGTATCGCTTATAAAGCACAGTAGCAATTAGCTTAACTATCTTATTGAACTCATTAGGCCATTTATATTAATTGGCGTAACCAGCATATCTGATGCTTAGTCTTGAATAGCTTGCAGCTGATGTCAAAACAGTTTAATTAGTTAATCAGCCTTATTAGTACAAATTACGCTCCACCCTAATTTCATTATTCTAACCTACCTTAATTGGTAGGAACACGGTTAAATAGGCTTAATTATGCTTGGCTGTGTAGACTTGTGTACGCACACCTAGAAGCAACTTGGCTTGAAAAGGCCGCACCACCACGATAATGATAGTTGCTTGCTTACATCGCGAAGCGGCCACATGGAAGGCCTAACAACTGTGCTGTCATGCTTTCTGGTACTGCATTTCACAGCTGAGTTTAAGGCTTCACCATTTCGGCACGGCGAATAAAAAGTCTAAACTCATGAACAAAATCTCATCTTAGTGAAATTATCGCTGAAAGTATGTCACATTGCGACTGAGACAGTGCAGAACAGAGAAAGGGAATATATTACAGCCATGCACGCATAGACTGTATCGCCACTCTAAGAATTCTTCGGGGAACCTAACTCGGTTAAGCCTTACTTTCCTTGTTGCCATGTCTGGTGGTTATATTCACGAAGCATCGACGTGCATCCAGCAAGCAACGTCGTCGTAAGCAGCGCCTCCTTTTCCCGTTTGCGCGATTAGTGTTTAGTAAATGCACGACTACTGCCATCAATTCCAAAATACCTGCACGCTCGATTACCATCTCTGTCACATGTGGTCGGTACTGCTCCTACAAGGAATACTCATTCTGACTTGCCCGTTGAAAATGCAGGCTTTCGAAGCGCCTTCTAGAACGTCACGAAGTTGTACATTATTAAAGAGATCCGCATGCGCGACGCTTGCTGACGCAGTAAATGCCGAACGTGTCATCAGAGGCGCTTGTGCGTATTTAATAAAGGACTGACGTTGTGCTTTTTTTGTATTATATATCCCCGTTCAACAGCATAAAACAAAATATTCGTGCCTTGTTGTCTCTGTTAGTGTGTGCCTTTTCCTTGTACTTGTTGTTAGGAAACAATGAGGCGAAAGTAACAAAGAAAGAAAAGAAGACACGTCGTTACGCCAAGGCAACAAAATAGAAAATAAGATGCGCACCGCTGGTGCAGGAAGTCTTCGGCTCCGGTGTTCGGAGAAAATGGGCGTTGTTGCGTGCCCTGCGTGTACTGCGTGCCAGTCGCAAGCCGGTGCAGCTTGTCCCCTCCTTTATTGCAGCCAGAAATCCCAACCCGGACAGTCAGCGACCCGTATAACTCTTGCGCAGCCTTCATCTATTGATTTCAGGTGAAAAATGGAACGTTCTGTGAAAGTTTCAGGAAGACAAAAAGAAACACATTTGTACGTCAACAGACTGAAAAACAATCGCTTCTTGCCACGATCGTATGTATGCGTTGTGAAAGTGCGACTGAGTGCTTTCTAAGCAATTGCTCATGCACACGAACTTTCGGCCTTTAAAAAAACTGTGCAGTACATATGTCTACATATATATATATATATATATATATATATATATATATATATATATATATATTTTGTGAGCTTACACGGAAAGGGAAAGTACAGGAATTCAGAGTCTCGCTTCAGAACAGGTACTCGGCTCTTCTCAAGGAGGAAACCAGCCATAACCTTGACGCAAGGAATGATAATCTGACGACTATAATTAAGGAGTGTGCAGTGGAAGTTGGAGGAACTGTATTTAGACAGGACACTGGCAAGCTGCCCCAGGAAATGAAGAATCTCATTAAGAAGTGCCAAAGCATGAAAGCCTCAAGTACATCAGACAAAATAGAGTTGTTAGACCTTTCGAAGTTGATTATTAAGCGTAAGGTGTCCCACGTAAGAAGATATAACATGGAGAGAATTGAACACGCTCTGAAGAATGGAGGAAGCGTCAAAGCAGTGAAGATAAAACTTGGGATAGGCAAAAACCAGATTTATGCACTAAGGGACAAGGAAGGCAAAGTAACTACCAATATGAGTGGAATAGTGTACATAGATCTGTATAGTAGCTAGCACAACCATGACCTTAATATAAGAACTAGCAGTAACCCAGATGACACCCACCAGTAATGATAGAAGTCAGAGAAGCCTTGGAGAGCATGCGAAGAGGCAAAGCTGCTGGTGAGGATCAGGTAACATAGATCTGCTGAAAGATGGAGGACAGATTACAGCTTGTGTGTTCTCACGTGTGATGTGAACACTGAATCTCTGAAACTGTTGTTTTCAAAGATACGACATAAGCTCACTTCACCCAGCTTTGAGCTGCTTTTTTCGAAACTGTGCTATCATTTTCGACACTATTGTAACCATTTTATGTACCACCCCTGCTTGGATCGAGAACATTTGCAGTATATTGATATATAACACCTAGTAAATGCGAACTTATGTACAAACTAAGGAGGGGTACAGGGCAGGGAACGAAAACTTCAGCGCTGTTGGTCAAGCTCCGCAAGCTTCACGCGAAGGTAGCGGTTTCAGTCCCCAGATGTGGGAAGTCGCTCTGATTGTTAGTTTGCTTTCAATTACCTTTACAGCTTCTGCACCACAATTAAACGACAACTAATGCAATACAGGCCGATACAGTAATAGAGTACTGACCTGTGTGTTCGCAAAGACTGGAAGTTGAAAATAAACCACCGATTTCATGTCGTCTGAATGGCAAAACTCTATTACTGCTCTAAATAAGAAACGAAAGTCTCAATAAAACTCCAGGTGCTAGTCTAGTGGTGTCAATAGTGTTTCTCTGTCCAAGTAGATTTACTTATTTATTTATTTATTTCTATATTTTTATTATTTTTTATTGTTTTATATAATTATTCATACTGTAAGCCTTAACAGGTTCTTACAGTTGGCTGGAAACCTTTCGTCATGTTCAACCAACAAGCTCAGGCTGGCAGAATTCTCACTTGTGTTTCGTACTGCAGTTTTCGACGCTTCGGGCAAGTACCCGACCGGAGCACTTCAAGCCACAAAGTCGGACTTTGGCGCCTTCGACGAGTGCCTAGAGACCGTAGTGAAGGACAGCCATGGCTATGTGGTGGCACGTGGTCAGTATTGCAATCTGCTCTATTTTGGCGGGAACAGCAGCGACCTCCAGAACTACATCTTTCCCGCCATGACAGTTGTGCATCCTAGGGTAAGTCTCCAAAAACCGCAAACCTTGCATGCTAGATATGGATGTCGTAGACCACACGAGCAGTTGTGCATGCATCTCTGTGCGTTTGTGTGTTGCTCCTTAGCTCCTTCGCTCCCTCACTATGAGATATCCTTGAGCTTCTGTCTGTCTTTACCTTTTCCCACTGCACGGTAGCAAACCAGATATTTTCAGGTAACATCCCTACCTTTTCGCGTTATTTTGGTCCTCTTCATGGCGAGACCAATTCAAAGCACCTTTCAGCACCTGTGATCTGCCACTAGTTATTCCCGATTGTGCCGAGGTCGTTTTAACATGACAAAAAAAGTCTCGCCCGCGTCTTCCCACAGGTAGAACTCTAGTAATTGCGTCGCAGAGTGGAGGGGATAATATCGCGTGGGCTTTGCGAAATGGGGTATGGTTTGAGAATGCCTAAATGCTATTTTAGTCTTTATTATTATTCTTTATTGAATAAAGAAGAAGTGGTGGCTTCAACATCAAGGAAAAGCGAAATAAAGACACCCTCGACAGCATTCGAAACACGCGATCCAGTGCTTACGTATACGGGGTGGCCAGTGAATGGTTGTGCAGCACGAGCGATTGGTTTTTCACTAGCAAATGCTGCCTGCGTCAGCCTTGCCAGGCGATAGAGTGGAGTGGGGTGACAGTTTAGCGGGTGTCTTCCTGGGCCGGCACGAGAAACGTGCATGCGGCACTAAACGCGAGGCGCGAGCATGCGCAGTGAGAGGACGGTGCCACCACCGACGCCGAAGTGGGATATCATGCGACTACGAAACGCTCTGCGTTTTAAAACAAGGCAATATTGAGTGGGCGAATGGATCAAAATTCGCACATCTGCAAATGGCCGATAGCTCTCGCCGCAATTGTCTGAGGTGATTGACAATTATGTTGGAAATTCTTCCCCGTGTCTACAGCGGCGTGAGTGGCGTCTAGTGGGGATTCGCCGAAAGGGCGCCAGCACAATAACTTTGGTTATGACCGCGCACTTTGAAAGGTATTCGACAGTAACTTTAAATCACAAAACACGCGTCCTCTTTCCTATATTGTTGATAAAAAGTTGCCAATTTCGTGACGCGTCAATTTTTCTATGCTTTTAAAAACTATGCAGTCTCTTACACAACGATGGGTTCGTGCATGTGGTGTACACAATTGCCTGAAGCTTTATGTCGTGTGTACATATATATATATATATATATATATATATATATATATATTTATTTATTTATTTATTTATATATATACATATATATATATATATATATATATATATATATATATATATATATATATATATATTTGCGCCGGGGTAATCCTACGTGCTTACATCCACCATTAACGTCATTGTCGGTGTGTTAAACAGATCAGTGGGAACTCTACAAATCGGCATCGCTGCGTTATTATGTTACACGATTTCTCAAGTTTCACAGTTGTGGAGCAACATTTTGTGTGTGTGTGTGTGTGTGTGTGTGTTTGCTTGTGTGTGTGTGTGTGTGCATGCATGCGTGCGTGCGTGCGTGTGTGTGTGTATGTGTGCGCGCGCGCACGTGTGTGTGTGTGTGTGTGTGTGTGTGTCTGTGTGTGTGTGTGTGTGTGTGTGTGTGTGTGTGATCCTGCTGCTTTAGGATCCACCTGACGGTTTAGCTGCCGTATATAGACACCTGCGGAGATATTATAAGCAGGAAGAACATCGTTGAGGGATAAGACAAGTCTGTTGTAATACAAGCTATACAGACAGAATAAATAGACGAGTGCTTAAAAGTTTGCCACTGCAAAACCTTGTTCGTTTCTTTGTATCATAAAATAAAACTAAGGAAGTGGCGGGGAGCAGATGATAAAGCCCAACAACAGAAGATAACACGCGCAAAGACCTTGCAACACCGAAGAAAAACGAAAACGAATGTGCCTGGTTTGTGATATTGTGGCTCAGCCTAGGCACGGTGGTGCGGAGAATTCAATGCGGCAGTGTTATTTTCTGGTCAAGTGAAAGAGTTCATGCGAAGCTTAGCCCACGTTTGTTGCAAGGTAGTAGCTAGTACCCCCACACCTATAAGCATAAAGAGAAAAGCAAAAAAGGCGATCAAAAGGGATGTTTGTGTTTTTCTTCTTTATTTTTTCAGTATACATTATATGTTTTGACCATTTATTTACATTTACAGATCATTAAGTTTAAAAGTCACTTAGTGAACCCCACGACGCCAACGTTCCGTATAGGGCTGTGTGTGCTGAATGACTGCGCGGAAGAAGAGCTGCAAGAAATCATTAATGCAGGTGAGCCACACTCCTCGCGGTCTCAGAAAACGATTGTAGCTGTGAATATATAAGCTCGTCATTTAATTATGCGCAGTGCATATTTGGGGCTCCTCGGTACATAATTATGCTCTTCTACTGCGATCGGGCGTGCCGGCTGCGCGGACCCTTGGGAATCGTGCGTGTATGGCGAGAGTATCAACGGCAATTTTCGTATGACAATTACAAATCAGGTTCTTTTTTTTTTTCAGGCACTACCTACTTTACACGATATACAGAGGCAAAGAAAGAAAGGTCCATCTCGACAGACTGGTGGATCAGAGAGTAGGGTGCTCGACTCCTGATTCAAAGGTCTCGGGTGCAATACCGTCCGCTGCGTTCACATTTCGAGGTGAAATGGTACAAGTCCGCGTGCTCTGCGATATTCGTGCACATTAAACAACACCAGTTAGTCAAAATTTTCGGACTCCACCACGTCTCTCATAATTAAGTGATGTTTTGGGACGTAAAACTTCAGATATCATCATTATAATTATCGTTAGGCAAAGAAAGAAAGATCAGCTTAACCATTGTTGCATTGGATATATCATTGAGGGGATGATCTCCTTGCACCACACTATCAAATGTGTGTAACTCCAGCTCAGACTCGACAAGCATCTCTTCCCTCTCTCTCATCTGTCACTCACAGTGTTAGAGGCCCGAATTCTATGGCAGATGTAATACAATTGCGTGATAATCCACTCTACCCTTTTTCTCAATAAATATATACCTGACGCCTGCTGCCCCAATCACCCCTCCGCATGTACGAACCCGTCACAGCCGCTTTTTCACTGCCCAAGTAACGCCACTTGGTTCGAATGAATGGGCGCTGAAGGGGAAAAACAAAAGCGTCGACTGGCTGCTTAGGCCTACGGTCGAAGTGCTCGGCCTTCAGTTTGTGGCAGAAGTAAAAGTCTATTACGATTACTATTACCATTTAGACAATAGCACTCGCAACACTCGCAACTTTTTGTGTCGAATGGAAGCCGATCACAATACCCTTCGTGACACTTGCTTAAGATTTACTTCATTTTCCCATCACTCCTTTTCGGACGTCCCACCGTACGGCGCGTTCCGGAACAGCGCTTTAAGTAGTTTGGCGTTTGAAATATTAACAAAGTGAGGTGAAAATGGCTATTAGTAAAGAAAAACTGTGCCCCATTCGCTTAAAAGGCCTCTAAATTACCCAGAGGTGGAAATTCAATTTTGGTGTGGCAGTTCTGCATGACTCTACAGAGTACACGTAGCCGTTAGAATTGGTGCAGTAACAGTGCAGCTATCCGTGTTTGATGATCCGAGGGTGCCATTGCTCGTCTCACTCTTTCCTTCGCTAAGCTCCATTCGTCGGATGGTGTACACTCTAAAAACCCCTTTCGCTCCTCACCATGAACCCTCTCAATCTCACATGACATGCGGCACCACTGACGGCCTGTTCGATACAGCACCTTTATCCGGTGGCGGCGGCTCTATTCTTTTCGGCTAAACACTGCTGTTGCCGTGCCAATCTGTGTTCCTACGAATCATGCCGGCAAGAACCCCATTTTTTGGGCACCCCCTTAAAGAATCGTCGACATGATGAACACGTCTTTTAGTGACACGCTGAGACAGAGCACTTCCGCTCGAGCATGGTCAGCTTCTTGCAGACTAAGTGGAAGTCGTAGGTTTTTGTTCGACCAATCAAAGCACCTTTTTAAGATAGCATCACAGATTGAACTTGTTGACGTTGCACACGTCAGTGGGAATGGCGGAAAGGCCAGGAGGGAGGATATACGATGTTTTTTTTTTAATTTTTTGCGCGTTTGCAGCTTTTAGCGCTGCCCCGTGTAGCATCGTTGATTGTGAAGGCAATTTGAAGAAGACGCGCGTGTTCACTCAGATTGTTTGGAAAACTAATATAGGCTGTTTAGGGCTCTTTAAGGTTAAAGTACGAGTGTTGTTTGTCAAAAATGAATAAAGGGCGGTGACATCATTGGTTTTCTCCTCTTCTTCGCATCTTGTTCATCACTCTATCAGAGCCAAGAAAAATCTAGCTTATGAATGACTGCTTGATGGGTTCACTCTAATTAGTAAATCATTTTTGTCGAAATCGGTCAGTATCCTAGACAAGACGTAAATGCCTCCTTTGGCGCCTGCGGCAAAACCTGAAATGATGTTTTATGTGAAAATTATGCCCTGAAACGACAAGTGCTCACCCACGTAAGAGACGCCCGCGCGTGCTCGTGTCTGCTCCTGGTATTTGCATTTTAAGAATAAGTTTGAAATAGAGCTGAAGTGAAGAACCTGAAACCAATTGTCAAGATGCTTTCACGTATTATGCGCGATCTTAAGTTCAGGCTGTCTTTTCAGCAAGCATTTTGTACTTTGGTTAATTCATTTTTCTGATGAGCTGACAGGTGACAACAAAAAAAAAGGTAGCTTGCGCAAAGTATTTCAGGGAAAAAAGACCATTCATCCTATTGTCGTATCTCATAGCCCTTTTGTAGTTAGCTCGGCAAGAAATAGTTATGACTACATACATTATCACGTTCCTAACAGAGATTGGAGGAGTAGTCATTGAAGGCGTTAAAGTGGCAAGTCCGCTAATCACTGTCTTGTCAAAAAATACCTTATGCCGATGCGCGAAATGGTGGTATTTTCTTCCACATCTTCCACGATGATCAAAGAAGGTTCCTGAATGCGCAATCAGGGTGCCATATTCTTGCATAGTTCACTGTATCAGGCGGCCGCATTATGCATAGTGCGAGCACAATTGCTCACGTACCTTTGCGAAAGCCCCACATTTAGCTGGAAGAAACGAATGCACCATGACCGTATACTGCTGGTACTACATCCCAATATGTGAGCTCATTTGTCGTGTTTTTTTGCTGCTTCCGGTGAACCATGGTGTCGTTAAAGATAAACTACTAATTGTTTGTGAAATTTCAGGTCTAGTAAGCTTCTGAAACAGTATGTTGTTGAAAATTGCGATTGCATAAGTACCAGAAAGTGACGGTTCCTTGCCCTCAACGTTTTAAAACTGGGTATTAGGAATTTTCAGCACAGATTTATGAAACTTTCATGAACTTTCACTCGTTCCAGTTGCCCCTGAAGGAGTAGTACTACGGATCAGTGACTGCGTCACTGGAGAATTTCCTCCGCTCAGCAGAACACAGATCATCATCACGTGAGTGCAGGGCTTTCCCAATTAAGTTGACTGCAACGGAAGCTTATAAAAAAGCATGAGTTGTAATAAAGAGCGGATCTGCACCGAGTTACTACCTCGGCACAGATAGTAACTTGCTCTGGAGTACTTCGGAGCCTTAGCTTACAATATCATTCTTTGTAAATAATTTCATTATATGCCCTTTTGAAGGTTAATACTAAGCTTAATCATTGACAATGTTGGTTTCGTAAATGTTTACAACCTTTTTGGTGTAGTCTTTGAAAGACCGTAGTCTTTTTGGGAATCTTCGACAAAAAAATTTTGGCATGTCTGTCTGTACGTTTGTCTGTTTGTCCATCCTTAACGATACCTCCAACGGCACTAAACGATGCCCCGAGTGGCCGACCCCATTTGCAGTGCCCACCAATATTGCTCAAAATTCAGTGTTCATACTTGTGCAATTTTCAATTAAAAAGCAATTATTGCGCATGTCTGAGGCGCCATAACAACAAGTCATTATTTGGTATGTATGTATTTTTACTTGAAAAGGCATACATAAGTAATTATAAGGACCGTAGCGTTTATCACGCTGCGCTGACATTGTAACACTTGCACGAAAAAGCAAGTGTTTCCAACGCTTTCCTAAGATGACACGGTGGTGGAACCAACCCGTCGCCTTGCGTTCTACACCTTATCGCCTCCGAGACGGGCGCGCACGCCGCCACGCTTTGTTTTCCAAGATAACTACGTGAGCGCCAGATAGCGCTCATGTCTCACGTGTGATGCGATTTGATGCGCTCGTTCACCTCCGCTTCACGCTCGAGGTACTCTAACGCAGCACCTTCAGAACACCATTCACCGATTTCCTTGCGCAGAACATCAAATGAACGTTTTGTTCACTCTCACCAGACGCAAGAATATCGTCTTTCGACGACATTTGCAGTGTAACATGCAGATATGGGGCCAATGTTTTTTTTGTCAAATCTTTGAGTGCTCGTGAACGATGTGTTATGAAGTACAAGTTATCAGCACGTATATCTGCATCGTATCTTCCACTTCGTCCCCTTTTTGGATCCTATATACCGGCTTGAGCCAAGAGTACTTTGCCTGCAGTGTCAAGGTGTGTTGCTTCCACAAAATAATTCGGATTCGCATCGAGAGCAAATGCATCGTGAGTTGTGACCCTTGGTACAGCCGAAAACTATCACAAATGTTCTTTTACAATATCCTGGCAAGAAGCAGCACTGAGATTGCACTTTCCGGCAGCTACATATAGCCCGACAGAACTAGCCCATTCTGGCAAAAGGCCAGTTTCGGGGTAGAAAATACAAGAATACCGACCAAGAGAGTCCTCACACCTCACTTTAATCAAAGCGCCCATTTATTTGCATACACTTTATGGGCCCACTACACAGTATATAATTCTCCCAGAGCATCACCTTCTCTTCTTAGCTAATGTCAAGTGGTGGTTAACTTTGGAAAGCTCGTCGCCATCTAAGTAAGTGCGTTCGTAGAAGAGGATTTGCTGAAATGACGTCCATACACCTTTTTTTCATTCTTTTTGAAACACACGCAAATTATAAGAGCAGTTTTTTTTGCACTCGTGTAACTTCTGAGTGGGAGTTTATGACATTTACCTGTGTTATATGTATACGTACAGTATTTTGCAGTAATTTGAGCATCTTGCAGAAGACTTTTTGCAGCCTTTGTTTCTCTTGACCTATTGGAAACTTCTTTTTAAGTTGTTTTATCATGTTATTTTCGGTTGTACCTTTTACCTCTATGTTTCCTGTATTCTCTTAGGTTGTGTTTGCATGTAGCTGGGCTTACAGTTTACCAGCTCTCCATCGATTTCAACCAGTGAGAATGCAGTGTTCACCTTATCCTATTTCCTTCAGGTCAGTTTTGGGCACCATTGCCAGTCTGATTGTCCTAGGAACAATAATCGACATAGTGACATCAATTACAAAACCAAGTAAGTCAATTCTCTCATTATGGTTGGGCCCATCTCTCTTTTCCTTCTCCTGAGCTATATTTGTTGTAATGAAAGCCGGACAAGTTTTCGCAACCTTTCGTGAATGCCTTTTTATTTTACTTTCAGTACATCAGCCTTCAATGGAGTAGAGCCGCTCGAAATTCCATGCACTAAAAAAAGTGCGTAAAATATTGTAGTACATAGTAAGGACTGTTGCTTTTCTGCTGGGCCATTAGATTGCGAATCGTGACTCACTGACTCAGTGACTCTCTGAAGGGCACTAGATTGTAAATAAATAGCTGTGGTTGTCCAAATGGGCCGTTGAAAGGAAAGTCAGTGCAATGTGTTGAAGATCGTTTAATATTTCTGCGTATATAGAAGTGTCTATTTGAGACGGAGAAAAGAAACCATTGCTTATGAAGGACATTCACCAATGAGTGCAGGTTCAGCGTATTTAACGGCGATACACTGATTCAAATAACGCCTTTGAACAGTGTTTAAGCGTTTTAACGTAACAGGGTATAACGTAAAATAGCCAGTTCACACAAATACCAATGTCGATGTCAGCCCCGGATTCGTAGGTTGCGAGAAAAAAATCAGGGTTGCACGTTAGCGACAACTTGAAATACATGCAAATAAACAGCTGATAAAAATGTTCTATTCGGGTGGGTATTACACCCAGGATTTTTGAGCGGCAAGAACGTGTTTTGCCACAGAGCTGCACCATGACTTGATAGTCTTTCGGAAAAACACTGTATGCGAATGTCACGTAGTGTGAGAAATCTTCCTAACGCATGTAATACTGCACTTCAGAAGCCTAGAAGAGCATCAGGCGTAGAATGATGTGAATTTCTAAATAAGTGGTTGGTTTGAAGGCACGCCAACTGCAAAGCGCAAGGGCATAATAATCATCATAATCAGCAACAGAGTGAGCTCAGTGACGCGTTGTGGGTTCCTGTCCAAATTACAAAAGCATTATGACGATTGGGCCCTTCTTGACTTTACTTACAATAGGCATTATAGGATACTTTGTAAGGGTCAATGTTGCATGCACGGGCATTCTGTTGCAGATGTTTGTTTCAAAAATAAAAATTACAATCTGCGTAAGAGAGATGCACTCACGCTCGACAAAGTGTGCACTAACTTCACTCTCTAAGTTAAGGTACATAAGTCTCAACTTGAGTTTGAACAATGCTTAATAGAATTTGAAGAATGTTTACGAAAGCCAAATATCTGCCAATCATCGTGACATATCTCAATAAACAAATTAATGGCTCCATCATGCGTGTCTCCAGATTTTTGAGGAAATAGCAACCTCCTAACTAGCCAGCCATTAGTTTGCGAAGTCAGAGGTTGCTTGCAATTATTCAGTAACTTAGTGGTATCAACTTCGACGAGCTGACACTTCAGCCACACTGATGGCTCAGGGCATATATTCTGCTCTGGTCTCAATATCGACGGGTTCAATCTCGACTGCGGCGCCCACACTTCTCCTGTGTGCGAAATGAGGAAACGCTCCCACGCTCAGATTGTGGTAAACGTCATGGGCGTCTAGGCGTCGCCCAAATCCCGAGCGTAGCTTTGGGGCATCAAACCACAATCCTTAATAAACGAGTGTGTATTTTTATTTCTTACAGAAACCTCGAAGTGCGTAGGCTTGCTAATCGAGACGTTCAAGTCTTTCTCTCTGGTGTCAAACACAAGAATGTTGCTCAGTGTGGCAAAGGACAAAGGTTCCGACTCGTACAGCTACCGTTTCCTGCACGGTGTCCGCTTCCTCAGCATCGCCTGGGTTGTTGTCGGCCACTGCTATGGCTCTCCGTCTGACACATGGTGTGAGTGAAATCATTTTGAGCTATCTTTATTTCGCTTGTATAACAATTCTGGCTGAACCAAACTTTTAAAAATGACTTTGCGAAATCCGAAATGTCATTTTTGATGGTGAATCCATTTTTGATGGATTCACCATCAAAAATGACATTTTTGATTTTTGATGGAAATGCCATTTTTGATGGTGATGGTGATGATGATGAATCAGTACGCAGGTTTCTCGTTTTGGCTCTGGTTACTCAATTTTAAACTCTATACTGTCTGGCAAAGTAAAACACTACCTAATTAAAAACAATAGTGGATTCATTAGGTTACCTTGCAGAACAAGTTGCTACACAGTCTTGGTGGGAATACCAGCAGACCAAATGAGGCTGAAGAAACCGAGACCAGGAAAAGAGACAAGAATTGGAAAGTGGCTGAACTTCCAATGGAATTTTTTTTTATGAAAACGCAAAAAATAAGCCGACATGAGCATATGCGCAAACAAGAATCACACAGAAAGGCCCCATATCACGGCACGATAGAATCGCTGTCAAGGTACCAGAGCTCTTTGGCATTCAGGAAACTAGATGACGCGCTCACACAGTTATCAGGATCAAGTTCACAGATCTGAAAGGTTTCGATAATTTCGCGCTGCTTCTGCGTATAAGCTCTTTCAGTGACTAAAACATTGCCGAAAAAAAGGGTCGCAACCGCATGTCTTGCCATGAATCGGTAGATTTATTGCATCGCATAACATTTTCCTTTTTTTTTGCATGGATGTACTTGCGATGGCCAGTGGTAAATGCAAGCTGCCCGCTTGCTTATATAATCATGCGAATTTCTCATTAATCTTCATGAGGTTTACTGCTCACGGAAGCTATTCGAAATTTGAGCACCAGATTTATTGTCGAAATGAATGACTGCTCTGTTCTCTCCCTCTTCTTTCTTTTTAATGATTTGTTTTAATGATATGCTGTCGCCTGATCAAAGCACTGACTATTTATTAGATATTAGTGGGGTTAAATGTCGAAGTTACAGGTTCAAATGGTTCATATTTAGAGATAGTGCTGAAACTAACATCAGAACATCAAGGCCAACGTGAAAATCCAATTCTTAAGATTTAATTAAAACTATAATAATGCAATTTTGGGTTGAAAATACAAACAATAACGGTCCTTTATGAAATGCCATCTGATCAGCAGTTGTCGCATATGTCTCTTAAATCAGTTTTCACGTACGTAGTGTATCTTTTATGAGTTACGGGGAGTCCACCGCGGTGGTGTAGCGGTTACAGTGTTCGGCTGCTGACGCAAAGGTCATGGGCCCGGTTCCGGCCGCCTCCACAGCATTTTGATCGAAGCGAAATGCTAGAGACCGGTATACTTTGTGATGTCAGTGCATGTTAAGGAACGCCAGATGGTCGAAATTTCCGGAGTTCTCCACTACAGCTGCTTTTGTGTTCACATCGTCGTTTTGGAACACGAAACCCAAGATGTTCTCACGAGTTAAGCTAAACATTTTTCAAAGTAAACAGGTTCGCAAATAAGCACGATTCCTCAATAGGGAACAGAAGAAAATAAAAGAAGAAGATAGTTTTTGACGAGAGCTGAATTCTGATTTCTAATCTAATAAATGTTCACCATAAGGACACAGCTCCGACAAATGAAAATATCAGCAATGCGAAGCGTATGTTGACACCATCACATGAAGCATTGTACGATACAAATAGTTAATATTTATGATCACCGCACATCGTGTTGGCGACTAGCTTACTGCTATCGTTACTGCGTCGCAAAAAACTTGACATCAATTTGAATCACAGTACTATATGAAAAGCACGCGACTATACTTATGACAATACTTGGCGAAAAAAAAAATTCCGAATATGAGCCTCTTTTTTACAGGAACACGCACAATATAGCGAATTACATATTCGTTGAATCTTATGTTTATCGCTGCGTTGAGATATACAGATATCTTATGAAAAGTTTTGTTCAGCTATTTTCGTCAGTTGAGTTCTGCTTGTATTCTTAACCATGCTAAGGAACAACAAAGTCGAAAATGAATTATTTACCAAAAAGGCCAAGCGAAGCGAACTACACAGGATATTCGCTCTAAGATGAAGCCTTCCGGTCATGCATTAAGAAGCAATAACACACTCGCTGTGAAAACATGATTTTGAGATATATATGTAGGCGGCCTCATAATTTGTTTAAAATAATCTGTCATCGCTCGGCTCAATTGATGCGAGGCACACGAGCTAATGAATCATGCGATTTATGTCCTCAATGATGAGGGCATTTTTCGTGGGTAGTATATGCGATAGTAGTCACGCTGATGAAATCGCGGGAATACGTTGTTGCATGTATCTATCTAATTTTGCAACTATACACTCAGATGCCAATGATGAAGCTACATAGATTGAAAAACAAACAGACAAATGCTGAGAAAAACGTTATTGCAGTCAACGTTTCGCCAAGCGCCCTTGTCTACGTCAAGCAATCTGTTTCTGTCTTGACAAAGGCTGAAGTTTAGGTACCCGTTATAAAAAACTCCAATTAACCAAAATTAATTTGAACTGATATAAATTAATTTTAAAGCGTACCTTATGGTCATATCTCAACTTCGCCGCATGTACCGTCCCCCCATATACATACACACGGAAGCTGTATTTAGCAAAGTTCTGGCGGACCTTGTCTGCTGCCAAAAGGAATCGTAGAACGACCATTTCTGGCGCCCCTCGGCCCTTCCCTCTCACCCCTTCGCCTCAGGCGGCCCTCGTATGTCCCCCACCGATTCCTTTGTCATGGTGTCGCGGTACTCGATAGCGGTGCTTACTGCCACTTGTCGTGACCATTTGTCCTGTGACCTAGAGATCGTGGTGGCACTGTTATCGGTAGTTACCCTTTGTACTCGATACGGGACTGACGCATGTCGTTCATCAAGTGATAGAACAGTGAGAGTTAAAGAAGCGCCAAGGCGCACACAATCATGAGTGTGCACGGCAGCGACGAGAAGCTGCTGCAGTAGAACAAACTGGCGCAGAAGCTGGCTTCACTCGCTTCCACCTGCACAGTAGTGGAGGGGCTCTGTATTTGGAGCTAAAATTTGCATTTGAAATAAGTAAAACTCTTCACTGTATTTACAAAGTAGGTTGTCTGGTACCCATATGGTTGAGACTACGCGTGTATTATGCGCTTGCGAATTCTAAGTTGACCTATTCTATTCTCGTGTGAGGAACAAGAAGGCCTGCTACCTACAAAAACTACTATTGCTCCAAAAGAGAGCTTTGCAGTGCATTCATGGTTACCGCGGCGAATAAAAAGATTTTTCCCCATTGCCACCGTTTCAAAGTTAGCATTTGCTTAAGCGAACCAAGTTTCTCCGTTTCAACGGTTGCAGTATATTAAAGTCAATCAACTACACACTAAAAACTGTCTAATAACGCATACGACTTTCGAGAAAAAATCTACGCGTTCCCTAAAACGTGTACTATGGCAAACTAAAATAAAATAGGGGGTATCTGTGGTTGTGGCTATTAATAAAGCATTGACGAATGTTGGTTTTGATGTTGAGTTAAGATTATTCACAAAGCAAACAGAGACATTTACTGGAAGCTGATTTGTGCAAGTATATTGTATAAAATTGTACTTTTCTATAGCTTTTCATATGTATATGCTGCAAATGCAGCTAACATTGCAATTATATGCTTGCGTTTATTAATGTCATGCTCTACAAGTGAGCCGAGACCTTTGTCAGGCATCCCATTCTAGTCACGGCTTCCCCTTGGGGTTGTTGGGGTTCAACTTCCCAGAACACTTCATATGATTATGAGAGACGCAGTAGTGGAGGGCTCCAGAAATGTCGACCACCTGGGGTTCTTTAACTTGCAGCTAAATCTAAGCACGCGGGCATCAAGCATTTTCACCTCCTTCGGAAATGCGGCCGGGATTCGATCCCGCACCCTGTGGATCAGTAGTAGAGTGCCTTAAGCACTACACCCCCAAGGCGAGTGCCCCTTCGTATGAAAGAAAACTTCACTTGATCATCGTCTCGCTTGCGCGCGTTTCCTCTCTGAATTTTGGCGGCACACAAGTTCCACGAATGGATGTTGCGGCACCCCAACAGCGCGAACGCCATTCGTTAGCTTGAAGTACCGGTCATACTGCGATAATGGAAGGAAAGGCATGCGAGATAGGAGGCGACTGTCGTTGGAAGACAGAGATAGTGCCAATAAGTGCCATTCTTATTTAGAATGCACATTGCAGGACAAGTACTTGTGGACGAGAGTATCACCAGCAGCCAGTTCATTTAAACAAGAATATGTAGCGTCTGTTTCTCGTTTCCCTTCAAAGGGCTGCTTAACTCTGGCATCCTGCTGCATAATGCGTTCATACAAAAATTTTGTAATAGGATGGGTCTAAAAAGTACCTCTCTCTGGATTTATCGTGAGTTAGAGATACTAATGCATTAAAAATTATCCCGGAACAACCCTCGCTACTATGGCATCCGTGATAAGGATATCGTGCTTTGGGCACCTAAAACCCATAAATGAATATTACCAGGATGCAGCTGATAACATAAATACATAAATTGCTGCGCATGCAGCGTGACACCAACTCAAGCCTCGGTTACGAGTGTAATTCTTTATCCTAATGATGCGATGGCGATGAGGATGTAGTGCTGAAATGTTCATGAACATATATGCATTTTATACTCAAAGATTGAAACGCAACATCCTTTTTTGTGTATTTAGTGCTATGCGAAATTGGTCGTGATAACCATTACATGTCGCTACAAATCTGGCGTTAAAGTTCATTTTGTATCAGATGTACCTGTTCAAGAAGAAAATTCCAATTTGACAGGATTTGCACAAGCTGGAAACGAAAGGGTGCCTAGTACGTAACCCTTAATTGTCACGTTTCAATCTGAGAGTATTTGTCGTGAGTGCTAATGAACCTGAATCAGTGCCTGTTAATAATCAAGATTCACCAGAACGCTTGGCTTGGTGTTGGTATAAGGTGTTGAAATAATCAGATGTTGTTATTATAGCTTATTTGATGAATTAAATTCTTCCCTTTCAGCCCGTGTTATAAACAACGTCATATTCGCAGAAAAGTGGTTCACCATGATTGTGGCTGCAGGATTCATAGGCGTCGACACATTCTTCTTCATGAGGTTGGTACTGAGATCACCGATTTGAAATATCAAATTCATGTTACAGTACCAGGCAGATAGTACCTACAGTCGTATCAATATCACTTGAAGTGTCCGCTACGGTGGATAAGTGGCTATGTTACTCGGCTGCCGACCTAAAGGTCACGGGTTCGCTCTCAGTGGTGTCAGTCGCGTGTGCATGAAGGCGAAATGGTAGATAACCAGGTGTTGTTCGACGTCAGTACGCTTTAAAGAACGCCAGATGCTCCGAAGAATTCATATTGTGATTTTGGGACTTAATACACCAGTACGAATATTAATATTATTTGAAGCATGGCATCTGTTCCGAGGGCCCACGATGAGGCGGTCGGGCTTGGCCTAACTGTCCCAACGTGATAGCGGCCCGCTGCGCGTTGAGTCATGCACCTCAGCAATTCAAATAAATTGTCGCATTCTTCAATCTATGGGGTCCCTGATGGAAGAGCACATCATGAAGACTCTGCTGGTGGTGACACAGCCGTAATAGTGAGTGTGGAATACTATTTTTTCCCACTTGGCCTGAGTCAATTGATCAATCCTTTTCCTCAGATTATTCATAGCTTAGGTATCGCTTCGGTGGTCTTGATGCCTTCGGCAGTATACAAATGGTTCGTGGCCAGCTTCAAGCTTGCAATAAATTCACGTGCTATGTGACGCCAGCAGGCCGAAAAAATAATGTCAACCACTCCCCGTCATAGCTGCGGGCGACACTGGCTAACACTCTCAAGATTATACAAACATAAGTAGCTAATACATTGGATGTGAAATCAACAACTGCTGCAGCGCAATCGGCAGTGCCTTATCCAAAGATTGCAGGCTCCGTCTTTCAACTTCAATTCAGTACTGATTAAATACCATCTGAAAAGCCCCCTGGGAAAAAAGCCGTCACAGCAGCTTGACGAAGGCCCAAGGTCCCCATACATGGCAATAACATATATACCTGTGTTTACCTGCGGCAGGTTGATATTTCATCTACTTTAATTCCTTTCTATTTATGTCGCAACTCTTATATTACAGTCATGTCTCCTCTACATTCCTTAGTTTCATTGTCTGAAAAAATTCTCTTTGAGACGCCTGAATAATTTCAAGAAGAATGACATGGTCAGTTGTGTGGTTGATCTTTTGGCATAATATGGTTACTGATCTGCAGGTCGGGTAAGAGTGACGTAGCGTTCTGGGAGAGTACCGAAAGCACCGGCCCCTGCGTGTGCCTTTTGCAGTGTGGTTTCGTGCCGTGCCTATGCTGAGTCTGAACCACGGGCTTTCATGCGCGTGGGAAGAAAACAGAAAGCGAGGATTCTCGGTGGCGCGCTACCGTTCTTTTTTTTTCGTCCAGTTTCCGATCAAGCCATTTGAAGACAATTTCATTTGAGTAACGTACAGTGGCATGGAGCTTACGCATCTCGAAGTGGTGTCGTAAAGCTGGAGCAGCAAGAGAATGAAAAAATATATATGTTTAAGTGGCATCAGCATGGCCTTGGGGTCTTCAGTCTAAGAACATTATTGTGGCAACCTTGCGTACGTAAAAACGCACAAAATGAACACGCGAAATGAAAAAAGTACAACAACCTTGATTGCAGAGATAACCAGGCAATAGCACCGCACAAGTAAGACGTAATAGTAATGAAAAATGTAGATTGCACACGCAGTCACTTGAAATATTTACGTTCAGTTACCACACCAATATGTCCTTCTTACTCATGGTCTCTAGTGTTTTTCAGCCACACGCATACGCTCTTATTCGAACATTGATTAGCCTCGACTAGGACTTTATTGCAGAATTATTAAGAAGGCGCAAAGAAAACAAAAAATTATGCAGACAGCTTTGCCTTTTGTTAACCTTTTTCACTTTTGAAGTAGCATACAGCAACAAGGTTCACCACGCATCAATCTTGTGTTATATTTTGCACTAAATGCAGACATTTGTAATAAAATCAATGGCAGGTAAACCAAGTTTGTTGCACGCGCTTGACTATAAGGCGTAATATAAAACATTGTTTATATGCAGCTGCATATAATAAATTAAATACATAACAGCCCGCATACTAGCTGTTAAAGTTAATATCTGCCCGCACAAAGATACTGTAGGCAATTGTCACATACGAAGCGGTTATTTCCGTTGCTTTTAATAATTATTCAATTATAAAGATATGTTATCGGTATCTAGCCTGAAGAAATGTAACAACCCATAACATATACAGATTATAAACATAAGGAGACTGGACAATTCGGAGCCAGCTTGAGTCACAGGTTGTCATCCTTGTTTATGTCAACAGAGATACCCATATACACCATTATGAAGCGCTTGCGCAAGGTGTGTGCATTGATTTACCGTACGAAATGAAAATGTACGAAAAACCTCATTCTCACTAAAAGAGGCTGAACTCAGACATTCTAAAGATACGCCATGGTTAGCGTTCACGGGGTTCAAAGATATTACAAAAAAGTCACAGCTTTGCTGCAAAGTCGAAGCAACGAACGCAATAGCAACATATTGGAAGGTCACACGCCGAATTGCAATCTGGTAGAAACGTGCTCCCCGTTTCTCTCCCACAAATAACGCACGAAACGTACTCACAGGTACAGAAGACCGCGAATAAGTGTCTCAGCTGTTATTTCGCTGTGTCTGAAAAGCCCGCCCTTTTCGAGAACGGAGACTGTGCAACGAATCCAGTGGCCTTTGGGCGCCCCGTAACTACGACAGAATTGCTTCAGTGCAAGCCTAACTCCAGCCAAGAAATAAGATTCTCCCCACCGGGAGATAAGGGCGCGCGAGAGACCGTCCACTCCCCTCCTCTCCGCAGGCCAAAGTACGCGTGAGAAATGAGAGCTGCAGCACGCTCATTGCGCCATCTAGCTGATAATGCTGAAACCACGATAGTCCCCCCTCCCCCGAGATTCGCGCCAACAGCGGTAAGTGGTAGATATAAATAGCTTGCCGTTTGAACGTTGAAGAAGGTGCCTCTCAGTAACTCAGTAGTTAACGCCTCACATTCACGACGTGGAGGTCCTACGTTCGATCCCACGAGCCGGAGTCTTCTTTCTGTAGTTTTTCCTTTCTTGCATTTTCATATGTATAGACATATCATCATAAGCCTGACTACGTCCACTGAGAGACAAAGGCCTGTCCCATGTTCCGCCAGTTAACCCGGTCCTGTGCTTGCTGCTGCCAATTTATACCCGCAAACTTCTTAATCTCATCTGCCCACCTAATCTTCTGTCTCCCCCTAACCCGCTTCCCTTCTCTGGGAATCCAGTCAGTTACCCTTAATGACCTGAGGTTATCCTGTCTACGCGCTACATGCCCTGCCCATGTCCATTTCTTCTTCTTGATTTCAGCTATGATATCCTTAACCCCCGCTTGTTCCCTAATCCACTCTGCTCTCTTCTTGTCTCTTAAGGTTACACCTACCATTTTTCTTTCCATTGCTCGCTGCGTCGTCCTCAATTTAAGCTGAACCCTCTTTGTAAGTCTCCAGGTTTCTGCTCCGTAGCTAAGTACCGGCGAGATACAGCTGTTATATACCTTCCTCTTGAGAGATAGCGGCAATCTACCTGTCATAATTTGAGAGTGCTTGCCGAATGTGCTCCCCCCCATTCTTATCCTTCTAGTTACTTCAATCTCGTGGTTCGGCTCCGCGGTTATTACCTGCCCGAAGTAGACATAGTCTTTTACAACTTCAAGTGCACTATTACCTATCTCGAAGCACTGCTCCTTGCCGAGATTGTTGTACATTACTTTCGTTTTCTGCAGATTAATTTTAAGGCCCACCTTTCTGCTCTCCTTGTCTAACTCCGTAATCATGAGTTACAATTCGTCCCCTGAGTTACTCAGCAATGCAATGTCATCGGTGAAGCGCAGGTTACTAAGGTATTCTGCATTGACTCTTATCCCTAACCGTTCCGATTCTAGGCTTCTGAAAACCTCCTGTAAGCACGCGGTAAATAGCATTAGGGAAATTGTGTCCCCCTGTCTTACACCCTTCTTGATTGGTATTCTGTTGCTTTCTTTATGGTAGCAGTTGATCCCCTGTAGATTTCTTCCAGAATGTTTATATATACTTTATCTACGCCCTGATTCCGCAGTGTTTGCATGACGGCTGATATTTCTACTGAATCAAACGCCTTCTCGTAATCTATGAAGGCTATGTAGAGTGGTTGGTTATACTCTGAGCATTTCTCTATTACCTGATTGATAGTATGAATGTGGTCAATTGTTGAGTAGCCTGTTCGAAATCCTACTTGTTCCTTTGGTTCATTGAATTATAATGTTTTCTTTCCTCTGTTAGCAATTACCCCTGTAAATAGCTTGTATACTACAGAGAGCAAGCTGATCGGCCTGTAATTCTTCAAGTCCTTGTCATCTCCTTTCTTATGTATTAAGATGATGTTAGCGTTCTTCCAAGACTCTGGTACTCTTCCCGTCAGGAGACACCTCGTAAACAGGGTGGCTAGTTTTTCTAACACAATCTGTCCTCCATCTTTCAGCAGATCTGATGTTACCTGATTCTCACCAGCAGCAGCAGCGTATAGACATATACGGCCCATGAAATTAACGCCCACGTCGCCGCCAACGCCAACGGCGAAATCCAGCCGAGAGGGTCCTTATAATTGCTGTCTCAATAAAAAAGATGGAAATAAGTGATTTCATAAAGTGCAATTATTTTCGTGGCTATTGGGCGATTGGGTGCGTGCTAATTAGACGCCCGACCTTCAATGCCCGCTTTTCTTTTTGCTGAGCTCAATAACCTCTATTGCACTATCATGAGGAAGCTCCGGAACACTAAAACAGTGTGAAGAGGCTTTCTAGATCTCTAATAAATACAGGTGCCAGATTGCATAAGTAACAACTCATGATTACTGATGTCCCGTCTTATTTGCCTGTTGCAGTGGATTTCTTCTAGCGTATGTCGTCGCGAAACAGAAGCGAAGTGGACCAGTTCTTTTCATCATTGCCGTTGTGCGACGGTACATAAGGTAAGAAATAAGCCGGCCACAAGGCTTACGTGTGGGTCTTAATACTCCGTACAAACGCGATCTCCAGGACGATGGTGCCTCCGTTCTTCATCATCATGTGCATGTATATGCTTCCGGCGATCACGTCGGGACCCGATGCCAAGGCTTACTTTGACAAGTTTTATCGCGAGGTGAAGGAGCACTGGAAGACCCTTCTTCTGCAAGTGGACAACTACAACCACGAGTATGACGGCAGTGGAAGATTGGTGAGCGTCTTAGCCTACTATTTCTAGTGTCTATTTTCATGGGAGAAGTTTTATTCTTGTTTTTCTTAATTTACCGAACATTGCCAGTGTTATTTTTCTTTCATAAATGCACATAAACGAGATTAACTACACATGTACAGTGATCGTACAATGGTCAAGTCTTAATTATCCTGTACAGACGTGGTATTGTAGATGGGTTCGTTGACTCATCATCGCAGGTAAAGAGCTCTTCAATATCGAAGATTTCCAACAGCGAACCTCAAGTGACGACGGAAAAAAGGGGCTTGAGATAAATAGCAACATTTTATCTTTGATGCGCTATCCTTTGTGTTGCGATTGTCTGCGAGCCTGGTGAACATTTCTTCGGACAGCCGTCTTGTGCGTTACAGAAATGAACAATAAGTAAACATGATCATACAAGCTCTTGAAAACAGTCGACATGCATATCTTTCTCAGGTTTTAGATTTTGTTCTTTGTGAGGGCTGTAGATACAAGAACCAACTTCTGGCGTTTTTTTCTTGTTTGTTGAATGAAGTGAAACCTTTTTACCTAATGCAATGGTATCAGTCGTGGGTTTGCTTGTTTACTCCCAGCTGTATGTTCGTTTGTGTGCATTCTTTCCCCTCTATAAGACTTACCTCCGTATTCACAAACCTAACTCAACCTTATCCATATGACTTTAGTCAACCTTACCAATAGGTTCACCCTTAACGCGTTTAAAGAACCTACCTTGTACTTATCGTGGAACTTTCCGCGTACCTAAGTAAGACTCTGTAAAGGTAGCCGATGACCTACCCTTAAGGCTTTTTAAAAAAAACTTGACGGGGGACGAAAACTCTGCGTATTCCGTCTATTATGTGTACCGCAAAGAAGAAATTTCGAACTGCACAGCGTACGCGTACACGTCACCGCCGCGGCGAGTCCTCAACAATCGACGGAAGCTGGTTGAAACATACGATAAGCATAAATTTTTGTGCCGCCCTCGCTTCACACAAAGAGCCGCAAAGAATGTGCTCGCTGTGCTGTTTCTGCAGAAAACTATTGATGGTCGTGGGTTTGTTGTGCCCCGTCTCATGCACCTGCCCATCGCATCGCGCTTCTATAGAATAGGTGACCGGTAATACGGGCAATCACAGGGAACTGTGGGATGTGACGGCTTCCAGTTTGATGCACCACGCGGGATAGCAGCGGCATAGAGTTTCTCAAAATAACTAGAGGGCACTCTGGCGCTACGATCGTTCAGCGACCATGGGAATGATGGGTAGTACACACATTTGCCTAGTCTTCGTACTTGCGGGTGGCGAATCGTACTTGCGCCTTCGCTTATTGCTGTGTTTCGATTTTGTTTTGAAAGAAAGATTCAACCCTTTTGAACTTTGTGACCCAATTTGGAAAGGTAATTCAAAAAAATAGGGTGGTGAAGCGCAATTGCTGAACATTTGCTAATTTTCGTTTCGCGAGAAAACAGCTTCAAGCCACACGAACACACACGGAGCCAAGAGCAGGCCAGAAGTATGAAATTTAGACAAATGTGTGTTTTACCCATCATTCCCATATTCGCATAGGCGCTGTGCATTGCAGCTCCCATAGACACTGGCGCCAGAGTTCCCTATAGTGTATATTGGGAAACTCTATGAGCAGCGGCACGCGCACATATTTGTACCGCTCTGTTGAAAAAAAAGACACCTATCAGCGCGAAGTCAGTGCTTTAAAAGTTGGTTTTTTGTTTTCACTAACCGTGACTGTGACGACTACAAGCTACGAAAGCCATGAACTGTAAAAAAATTTTTATCGCACTGAAATGATCTCCAATGCTTTTACGCTGCTCGGAGATACTGTCAGTTCGACTAGCAGATCAGTCGATACAGGAAACAGTTTTCATTGTATGATACGTTACTGCAGATAAAAACTCATAATATTAAAGACCTCAGGGGATGGCGATGACTGTAGCAGTGTGCTAAGAGTTCATTTCGGGATTGCTGTTTTGGCCCCAACCTCAGCCGATCGGCATGAAGAGCAGCACTTACTGAGCGCATTCAGATATCTTTTTTTTCTCGCCTTTTGCTCTCTATAAGATGAATTTTCTAGTCGAAGCCAGATGCTTATTTAAACGCTAATCTTGATCAAGTTGTGTGGCACGGCGGCACACAGACAACACCGTCAGACATAGATGGCGCCGAATAATCTAAACCCTGCGCCGTTTGTTTAACGCACTTCTTCCTTTGAGTGCCATCCTGGCGCACACTTTGACTAAGATAAACGCAAATGCACTCGTCCAGCGCTTCGTGTAAACTTACTCTTGAGTGAAGCTTTTGCATTTTTTTTCATATATGTGACTCCAATGGCCGGTGCCCATCTCGTATGGCAGGTAGATTCCACCCGCGTGTCCCCATAATATTTTTGCTAGGCGCGTCTGCACGCCAATTTATTTCTGAATATGTTATTCGTAGCCAATTCATGCGTAAGCTTTTTTAGTGTGGAGTACACATGTACCTGTGATAAAATGGTCTTCGCACAATCTGGATTACACGTTCTGTACTTAAAGGCTACCTGTCGCTGTGGCTCTTCACATCCGCGGCCCACCTCAATTTTCTTTCTTGTTTCATGGAAATGGAGACATGCGTTTGCCTTTCACGCTCAAGTTAGAGCAGCCAACGGCTCAACTACTGACCATGGTTTATCAGGACGAAGATAAAGGGGCGACCGCGCCCATGAATCCCGAATAATCTGAGGCTTGCGGCGAAGTGGGTCACCGTCGTCTACTCTTCTCGAACAGGAAGCTGGTAGCAGACGGTGTATCCCCCAATTCCTCGCTCTTTTACTGGTCACCTATTTTCACGTTTCAACTGTGGAGCGAACACCTTGTCACTGGTTCGTAGCCGCCCGTGTCACGAATATACAGCCCAGCGGATACCTGCTTTGGTTGCAAAAACAGTTTTTCCCGTAACGCTAAGGCTTTTCGAGGCGGCACAAACACATTTCTTGTTGTTTGGTCGGCGGTTCATGCATGCGCATTGTGTCGGCTGTATATTTTTATCGCGAGGTGCTTCCACGTTTTTTTGTTTTCTCTGAAGGCACAGAGTGTCAGTTCTGGTACTTGTTTAGAAAATGCGTCAGGACGCAGCCACTTCGTCGGTGATGTTCTCTTCAGTGCACCATTACACACAATTATTGCAACTCTGTAAAAGAAAAGCTGTGAAACTGCTCAAACTATCAAATAAGCCTAGTGAAATTTAAAAAAAATGAAAGAAAAACAGCAAACGCCGAAGCGAGCAGGATATCACCACCAAACAGCAAAAAGTTGCAAGACGTCAAAATTACAAAAGTGTCCTGAGCGCCTAACGACCAACGTTTCTAGAACTAGGGAAGTTGCAAAACTGGGCGATGTTGCACGGCACCACCGTTGCCAGCGACAAATGTGGCACTGCTGTCGCATCCGGATTCACTCACTGCATGCTCTCTAATAACACTCCCGTAACCTCCGTTGGTTGTGCATGTTGTAGTGGGTCGCTATCTGTAGAGGCTTCTTTCTGCGTGCACAGTTTTGTGCTTCAGCGTGCCATGTTTTGCTGTTGCCTGTTTTCATCATGCCCACATGCTGCGTTCTCGGCTGTACTAGTGGCTACAGGAAATGAGAGGCAGCACTGTTACAATGTTGGTTCAAATGCAGTGCCCCCACGCAGCGCTGATAGTTGTGTTGAGCTGTGCAAGCCTGGCACTGCAGCGGGGGTGGCCGTTTTGGGAAACAATAAACGACAGTTCGTTCTGGGCTAAGGTCTCAACATGTTGTCGTGTTCTTCGCGGCTTGATGGCCTACTGTTCACGGTAGTCACTACCGCCTGGCCATCAGTTAATCTACACATGTAACAACTGGCGACGAGGATGAAAGGAAGTTTCATGTAAGTCTTCATTCCCGCAGCTCTCTGCCATCTGTTCACTATGCCGAGTTTCAGCAACCTCGAGCCATTCGAGGGGGGAGAAGACGACTGGCCCTGTTACGTGGACCGGCTCAAAGCAATTTTTTTGGCGAATGATGTCGCCCCAGACAAGCGTACTGCCTTGGTCATCAGCTGCTGCGGGCAGAAAACGCATGCCTTGCTCCGCAATTTGGTCAAGCCTGCCAAGCCCAGTGACAAGAATCTGGACGAGATTCTTCAAGTACTTGGAAGCCATTATTGTCCGAAGCCCTCTGCCGTCGTGCAGCGTTTTTGTTTCAACTCGCGCGTTCGCGCGGAAGGGGAATCAGTCAGCAATTTTATCGCAGCACTAAAAAGCCTGTCCGAGCACTGCAGCTTCAGGGCTGAACTCGACAACATGCTCCACGACCGCGTCGTGTGTGGCATAAACAACGTGGATGTCCAAACAAGACTTCTGGAAAAACCAGACCTCACCTTCGACGATGCTGTGCAGACCGCCCTGGCAATGGAAGCCGCAAAAAAGGACGTAGGTGAGATAGCGCAAGCGAACACAAGCAGCGCCTTCTCGACTCACCGTCTCTCGTCAGGTTCTGGGGGATTCACCTGCTACCACTGTGGGGACGGACATCTTGCATCAAAATGCAAGCATGTGAAGACAATATGCAATTACTGCCACAAACGAGGTCATTTGGCGAAGGTGTGTAATTCGCGACGAAGGTACAGCCAAGCCCAAAGCAACAGCCCCACCAAAGCACGTTTGTTCTCGGCTTGCAGTTCACCGTCGTCGAGTAACCGTCATCGTGTTAATACGGTACGCAAGCAGGATGCCGCTACCACATCATCTTACGAAGTTTTTGACATGTGGCTGTTCGACTACGCCACGCCGCCTCCGCCTTTCACCGTCACTGTGGACGTTTGCGGCAAGCCACTCCACATGAAAGTGGACACGGGGGCAAGTGTCTCTGCCATGGCCAAGTCACGTCTTCTTAAGCTTTTGCCTTCGGTTCCTGTGCAGCCGTCACAAGTGCTTCTGCGAAGCTATTCTGGGGAACTAAAAAAGGTTCAGGGCGAAGCTTACGTCAG